ATGCGATCCCGAACCCGGGCCTGTAACAGATTTTCTAAGTCCGCACACCATTCCTTCGTTTGCTAAAGACTGCAGTCCGATGGAACATCCATGTAAACTTCTTCTCCTAGTTCCTCATTTAAGAATGCATTCTTCACATTGAGTCGATGCAACAGCCAGTCAAGGTTTACCGCAAGGGGGAGTAATACCCGGATGGAATTTAGTTTTGCAACAGGTGCAAAAGTTTCTGAGTAGTGGATCTTGTAGCACCCGAATGAAATTTAGTTTTGCAACAGGTGCAAAAGTTTCTGAGTAGTGGATCCCGTAGCACTGATGTAAAGCCTTTAGCGACCAACCTTGTTTTAAATGGACTTACACTTCCATCAGAGTTGTATTTGACAGCTTACACCCATTTACACCCCACAGTTTTCTTTCCTAGTGGAAGGTTAGTGTATTCCCAAGTTTTGCTTTTCTGAGGAGCATTCACTTCTTCTTGCACTGCATTTGCCCAGTCCCTCGGTTTACCCCCAACCTTAAAATTGTTCTGATTTTTATCCTTCAAGACCCAATTTGAGAAACCCCTGAACTCCTTTACTAATGGCGACTGGATCCACCGAGAATGAAAATTACCTCTGCGCAGATGCCTTTGAGGTTCCAATCCCTTTTTGAAAACACGGTCTTTAACAAATCTACGATCTTGGAGATGCGATAATCGATGGCAGCAGTTGTCTGGATTAAAACTCCCTCTGTTTCGCTGCAGCACGTTCGTTTCTTGGCGCTACCAGCCTTACCTCCCAAATCCCATTGTATCGGTTGCCATCTCAGACCAGATTTTGTCTCCTCCAAACCCCACTCGTGCAGCGGCGCTCGACTCCCTACTCTATCTGCCATTTTGCCATCTATTTCAATCAGGTCTTTTTTTTATTCTACTCCTTCGTATATACACCTTGCCGAAATCCCTATTGGAATTAATAATAACAGTACTCTGAGTCTGTCATTCTTCCACCTGTATTCTTACAGTCTCTTTAAATGGGTTTTAGAGCTGTCTGTATCTTGAATCTTGATATTCAATTGAAATTTTATAAAGCTGAAAGATTAACATATTATGCGATCTTATAGCATTTCAACTACTTTCTTTAAAATTACAAACTGTTGATGTATTAGTTCCACACTAGCAATAACAACAAGGTGTAAGATCTAGTTTTACTCCCCTATCAGGTTAATCTGTCAACGTTTTAGGATGGATAGCCAAGTTTTAATATGGTATGAGAGCGGTTGGGTTATAATTTAATTATTTGTTGAACAAGTAATGATTTATGGTACGCTGTTTACGGGCAATTAGGCCTAGTTATTGTCCATGTATCCGCTCTCGACTACTGGATGGAACCCCAAATGTTAATAGACCCTAGCCCTCCAAAGACTTCCCTCTAAAACATTCCATCAAAACAGACCATTAATGTACCCCTTTTAAGCTTTTCAAATGATATTTGCCGCTTGCCAAAAATAAAACTATGTGTTTAATGCTAGTGATGTGTTTGTTTTATAGGGTAACTTTGATCTGGTCGGAAACAATTTCCCGGTCTTCTTTATTCGTGATGGGATGAAGTTCCCGGACATGGTTCATGCACTAAAACCAAACCCCAAGTCTCACATACAGGAGAACTGGAGGATCCTTGATTTCTTCTCCCACCACCCTGAGAGTCTGCATATGTTCACCTTCCTCTTTGATGATTTGGGTGTCCCGCAAGATTACAGGCACATGGAAGGTTCCGGGGTGAATACCTACACCCTGATCAACAGGGGAGGGAAAGCACACTATGTGAAGTTTCACTGGAAACCAACTTGTGGTGTGAAATGTCTTTTGGAGGAAGAATGTGTTAAGGTCGGGGGCGCTGCGACCCAGGATCTCTATGGCTCGATTGCAGCCGAAAACTACCCAGAGTGGAAACTCTTTATCCAAACTATGGATCCAGATCACGAAGACAGGTTTGACTTTGACCCGCTTGACGTGACCAAGACATGGCCGGAGGACATATTGCCATTGCAGCCAGTGGGGCGTTTGGTGTTGAATAAGAACATTGACAACTTCTTTGCAGAAAACGAGCAACTTGCTTTCTGCCCTGCCATTGTGGTTCCTGGTATCTATTACTCTGATGCTCCAGACACGAATTTTCTCGTACTCTGATACCCAACGGTACCGCCTTGGCCCTAACTATCTCCAGCTTCCTGTAAATGCTCCCAAGTGTGCTCATCACAACAACCACCATGATGGTTTTATGAATTTCATGCATCGGGATGAGGAAGTATGTAGTATTCCTTGTTTATCCCTTTTTCTTCTTGGGACTTGTTTATGGATCTGCCTTATGTTTTTTTTTTTGTAAAACCTATTTGATCAGGTAAACTATTTCCCATCGCGGTATGATGCTTGTCGGCACGCTGAACAGTACCCTATTCCTCCATGTGTGCTGACCGGAAAGCGTGAGAAGGTCAGTTTTCATTGATGGTCTAGGATGGTCTATTTTCTGAAAAAAGTAAGATCATTCATGGAAGCCTGGAAGGGTATCTGCTGTGTTATCTTAAAGGAAAAGCATTTTGAATCGGTTAAAACTAAGTCCAGCTAAATAAATAGGTCAAAATTACTTGTTTTGGGGCAATTATTTTTCAAAGTTCTGCGTAATTCTACTTGTAAGCAGACTTAGCAGGGCCGATTAAAGTTACTGAACAGGGTCTACAGTTAGCTATAAACATAAAACTATAATATGACCATATCTTTATCATTTCTTCTATAGAGTCTAGACAAAGTCTCACACTATTTATGCAGTGCATAATTGGCAAGGAAAACAACTTCAAGCAACCAGGAGAGAGATACAGATCATGGACACCAGATAGGTATAGTAATCAGTTAATTATTTAATTTGAAACGTTGTTAGTTTAATTAATGTTTATGTTCTTGCGAAGACGTCATGAAGTAAACTCTAGTAATTCTGGCATAGTTAAAACCATTTATTATCATATTTAATATAAACCAGGAAAGAAAGATTTATCCGGCGATGGGTTGAGGCATTGTCTGACCCAAGAGTCACCCATGAAGTGCGCAGTATTTGGATTTCATACTGGACTCAGGTTTTCTTAAACTTTCTCACAGGCTTGCACATTAAATTTAGGTCACGACTTATAAATTGAATCCGAGTTTTGTTTTATGGTTGAATGTGTTGCAGGCGGACAAGTCTCTTGGTGAGAAGGTAGCTTCACATCTCAACGTAAGGCCAACCATGTGATAGTCCAAAAAACAAAAGTCTGTTTCTGTTGCTTGCTTACAATGATGATATGATATAAATACCATTTGGTGTTGTATTTTGTACGTAGCCAACAAATCCCATGTAACTTATTATGTCTCTGACATCAATTGCGCTGGATTGCTGGAAATTTCTGTCTTTAAATGTTGTCTCCTGATCCTGAAGGATCTTCTTATCTCTTACCTACGTTCTGGTGGTAATGTTTGGCAAGTGATTGAAAGCTCAAAAATTCAATTCTTCTTCCCAACACATTCTCGATTGAGCCTGCTTACTATTTTGGTTTATTTGGGACAAAAAGCCAAATGAAAAAGCTATTTTGGGGGTGTTTGGTTAGGAGCTTTTCAGCTGTTTTTGGCTGATTTGACTAATATTGGTCTTTTGACCGGATCAATCAGCCAACAAAAATGTTTGGTAAAATAGCTTTTTCATTTGGCTTTTTGTCCCAAACAGCCAAAGTAGAAAACGCCAATCATCCTAGCGTTTAGGTAATGACCTTTCCGTTTCCGTAGTAATATTCCGAGGATACCCCGCTTTTCTTTTGTTCAATCGTACTGGCAGAGTCGCAGGCTTCTCGTAAGGAAAACAACACCGCCACTCATCTTTGAAAACTAAGTTCCCAGTCCCAGAACATTCTCGTCAATCTATGTTTTAATAGTGAGTATGTATCGAAAGTCTTATGACTATTTTCTCTAATTTTTATATGTATATTCTTCTACTATACCTGTAAGTCTATATATTTGAACTTCCGTAGAGTAATTATATATAATAAATGGTAAGATACAAATAATACAATTATCAATTGCATAAATTAGTAGAAACCACCATCGATTATATTTTGCATGATTTCAATTCCGTAGGGTACTTATAACTGCATTTATTAATCAAAATATCTTTTCAATTTATTAATATATGAAAATTGTTTAAAAGAATTATTACTTGTGTTAATAAAATTTTCATTTTTTTATAAATCATAAAAATTATTTAAGGAGTTGCACGTTCGATAACTTCAACTAAATGTATGATACATATATAAAAGTGCTTAGTAAATAAAAAAATAATTGATGTCCTTAAAAGTAATTTAAGGAATTATCAGCTGAGTATAAACAGCTATTTTAACCAAACATCAATTTATAAACTGCTAATAATATCAGCCAATCAAAACAGCTCACAAAAACCGTTGTCATCAACCAGTTGACCCAATCAGCCAACCGCCGGTTGCCAAACACCCCCTTTACCAAACATTTTTGTTGGCTGATTGATCCGGTCAAAAGGCCAATATTAGGGTATGTTTGGCACAACTAGCTGAAAAGATACTTTTACAAACTTTTTAGTAACAGTTAGCTTTTAGTGTATTAGATATACTACACGCATTGTGCTTATTATAAAGTTAGCTGGTGTTCAGTTTGTTAGAAAGGCTTGTTGAGCTGTAAACCTCTATATAAACACTCTGTACTGATCATTACAATTAGTGTGAATCATTTACATTCATTATTACTCTCTCTCTACATTTTCTATCATGGTATCAGAGCTCTAGCTCGATCCAGCCATGGTGAACTCCTCAACGACCTCTTCTTCTGCAACTAGAAGCTCCACTCTTCCAGTCATTCTCAATCATCCTCTTCCAATCAAACTTGACTCCAACAACTTTCAGTTTTGGAAGCATCATGTAGAAACTGTTACGCGAGCACACAAACTTCTGAAGTTTGTTGAAAAACCTAAAATTCCAGAACAATTCATCACCAGTGAAGATGGCGTGACCAAAACTGTGAACGAAGAATATACAATTTGGGAGCAGCAAGATCAGATGCTGTTTTCCTGGATTCTCGCATCGCTGACTGAATCTCTTCATGCTCGCGTAATCCAATGTCGTCATTCACACCAACTTTGGAGCGAACTTCACATTTTCTTTCGATCACATATTATCGCACGAGCTCGCCAACTCAAGTCTGAACTCTATAATACCAGCAAAGGCGATCGCTCCATCACCGATTATCTCCTGCGAATTCAACACATTGTTGAAAATCTCACAGCGGTAGGAGAACCTATCTCCTCTAAGGATCACATCAATGTCATCCTTGAAGGACTTCCTGAAGAATACGAAGCACTTGTATCCTCAGTTTCCTCCAGAAGCATTCTCGATCCAGTTACTCTCTCTGAACTTGAAGGATTATTGTTAGCCAAGGAACTTCGAGTCAGAAAACAACGTGAATCTTCTCAGCAAAGCCTGCTCTCAGCTAATGTTGCTCGCCTGGAAATCTCCTCTCAAACCGATGACACTACAGCTCAAAATTCTACAGAAAACTCCTCTGCGTATGTGGCTCAATTCCCTAATTCCAATAACAATGTCTCCTTCAGAGGTAGAGGTCGTGGAGGTTCCTTTAGAGGACGTGGAGGTCGATCTGGAGGTCGCAGTTCAGTTGTTTGTCAAGTTTGTGGCAAATCAAATCACACTGCATTGGTCTGTTATCACAGATTTAATCCTACATATACTGCCTCTGTACCTAGTGCTTTACCTGGTGCTGTAACTGGTACCTCTCAATCATCATATCCTCAGCAATTCAATCCTTATACCCCACAACCTTCATATTTCCCACAGAACCAGAACTGGGGTCATCCTTCATCTCAAACACCAAATGCCTTCTACCAAATGCCTCAAACTCCTGCTAATTCTCTACCTCATTCTTACACACCTCAAACAACCTGGAACCAGCAATCTCAGCAATATGTACCTACTGCTGCTTGGGCCTCTACTAATTCATCTATACTTGGACCTCATCCACAGTCAGCCAATTGGTTTCCAGATTCAGGGGCCACACACCATGTAACTGCTGATCCTTTGAATCTGCAGCATAGTGAACCTGCCATCACAACTGATAAGCTTTTCATGGGTAACGGACAAGGTTTGGACATCAAGTCTATTGGTTTCTCTTCCTTTTCCTCTCCTTACAATCCATCTTATACTCTTTTTCTTAACAAAATTCTTCATGTTCCCTCTATCACCAAAAACTTACTTAGTGTTAGTCAGTTTGCTAAAGATAACAGAGTCTTCTTTGAATTTCACCCTCTGGGTGCTGATGGTCTTTACAAGTTTCAGTCTCTTCCTGCTTTTGGTCTTTGTCAATCTGCCTCTCCAAACAAGTCTTGTAATAACATTCAGTCTTGTAATAGTTCTATTTCTTGTAATCAGTGGCATTTGAGGCTGGGCCACCCTCATCTTGAGGCTCTAAAATCTGTATTGAAACATTGTAATGTTCCTACTATCAATAAAAGTGAATTGGATTTCTGTTCATCTTGTTGTCTTGGTAAAGTGCATAGACTACCATCCTCTCCCTCTACCACCATTTTTCAATCACCATTTGAACTGATATTCACTGACCTTTGGGGACCAGCTCCTGTTTTATCCTTTGATGGTTATTCTTATTATATTTCATTCATTGATGCCTTCACAAGGTACACATGGATTTATTTTCTGAAAAAGAAATCTGATGCTCTTATAGCATTCCAGAACTTTTATCAGTATATCCTCAACCAGTTTTCTGTCTCAATAAAAGCTGTCCAGTCTGATTGGGGAGGAGAATTCAGGTCTTTCACTAATTTCTTAATTGAAAAAGGTATTACCCACAGAATCATATGTCCTCACACTCACCATCAAAATGGTGTAGTTGAGAGAAAACATAGAACCATTGTTGAGAAGGGTCTGTCTCTCCTAGCCCATTCTTCATTGCCTCACAAGTTCTGGGATACTGCATTTGCAACCTCAGTTCACCTTGCAAACAGAACACCTTCCAAATCAATAGCCAATTCCAGTCCATATTTCAAACTCTATGGTTCTATTCCAGATTACTCCTTTCTCAGAGTATTTGGATGTTCCTGTTTTCCCTTTCTCAGACCCTATAATAAGCACAAAATGGACTTTCACTCTGAAGAATGTGTGTTTATAGGGTATTCCACTCAACACAAAGGTTACAAGTGTCTCTCACCTTCTGGAAGGGTCTACATCTCTAAAGATGTAGTCTTCAATGAGTCAAAATTTCCCTATCCCACTCTCTTCAACTCTACTAATAACCATTCTCACACTACCTCTCCTCCTCAGTCTGCACCACTCACTATTTCTCAACCTAATTCTCAGTCTAATTCAACCTCATCCTCCAATACTCTGTCTTCATCTCAAACTGAGTCTAGCCAGTCAATTCCTATACACACCCCATTACAGTCTCAATCTTCTCCATCAGAATCCAATTCACAAGCTAACTTACCATCACATTCTTCTTCCAGCTCTTCTGCACCAATTACATCCTCATCATCCTCTTCCCCTGTCATTCCACTGACTAACACTCACCCTATGAAAACTAGAGCCAAATTTGGAATTGTCAAACCTAGACTTCATCCTACTTTGCTGTTAGCCCATGTTGAGCCCACATCAGTTAAGCAGGCACTATCTTCTCCCCAGTGGTTTGCTGCTATGAAATCTGAATATGATGCTTTGCTTTCAAACAAAACTTGGTCTCTTGTTCCTTTACCTCCAGAAAAACAAGCTATAGGCTGTAAATGGGTGTTCAGGGTAAAGGAAAACTCAGATGGTTCTTTGAACAAGTTCAAGGCAAGGCTAGTTGCTAAAGGCTTTCATCAGAGGTTTGATTTTGACTTTGGAGAAACCTTTTCTCCAGTTGTCAAACCTATTACTATCAGGGTGCTCCTAACTCTTGCTGTCTCCCATCAATGGTCTATTCAACAGTTGGATGTCAACAATGCCTTCCTTAATGGAGAGCTTAATGAAGAGGTTTATATGATACAACCCCCAGGTTTTCAAACCGAAGACAAATCCTTAGTTTGCAGACTTCACAAGTCCTTATATGGCCTGAAACAGGCCCCCAGGTCCTGGTTTCACAAGCTAACTGCTGTTCTTTATAGTGCTGGGTTCAAGCAAAGCAAGTGTGATCCTTCTTTGCTTCTCTTTGCATCTTCTGGCATTCTGATCTATGTCTTGATCTATGTTGATGACATTCTTGTCATTGGAAATAATTCTCTAGCCATTCAAAAACTCATTGCCAAATTGAATTCTTCTTTCTCTCTTAAGCACCTGGGAGATATTGATTTCTTCTTGGGAATTCAAGTTCAGAAACTTGCAGATGGGAGTCTACATCTTTCTCAAGCCAAATACATTAGAGATTTGTTGCACCAAGCTGGCATGACAGATTCTAAGGGAGTTCAGACCCCTATGATCAGTACTTCCAAGCTCACACATACTGGGAGTGATCCATTACCTGATCCTTCTCAATACAGATCTATAGTTGGTATGCTTCAGTATGCCACACTAACCAGGCCTGAGATAAGCTATGCTGTGAACAAAGTCTGTCAGTTCATGGCAGCACCTTTGCAAGATCACTGGAAAGCAGTTAAACATATACTACGCTATCTGTCTGGCACAACTACTCATGGTCTCACTATCAAACCTATTCCTTTAACTACTATGCCACTCCCCATTTCAGCTTTCTGTGATGCTGATTGGGCCTCTGATCCTACTGATAGAAGGTCTACATCAGGTTCTTGCATCTTTCTTGGTCCAAACATTATTTCTTGGTGGTCTAAGAAACAGGTGCGTATTGCAAGATCCTCAGCTGAAGCTGAGTACAGAAGCATGGCTGATACTGCAGCAGAACTTTTATGGATTCAATTTCTTCTTCATGAGCTTCATACTCCTTTTGCAATTCCAAAAATCTACTGTGACAACCTCAGCACTGTTCAATTGGCACATAATCCTGTCCTACACTCTCGCATTAAACACATGGAGATTGATCTATTTTTTGTACGAGAGAAAGTCCAGCTCAAGCAACTACAAGTGTTTCACATTCCTGCTCAACACCAACTGGCTGATATCTTAACAAAACCATTGTCTGCATCATCCTTTACTGATTTAAGAACCAAACTCAGTGTGACTGCTTCTTCAGCTCAATCACCCTGATTTTGAGGGGGGAATATTAGATATACTACACGCATTGTGCTTATTATAAAGTTAGCTGGTGTTCAGTTTGTTAGAAAGGCTTGTTGAGCTGTAAACCTCTATATAAACACTCTGTACTGATCATTACAATTAGTGTGAATCATTTACATTCATTATTACTCTCTCTCTACATTTTCTATCATAGTGACTGAAAAGATCTTAAAAGTAAAAGGTCGTAGCTGTTTGGTAAAAAACCGACTGTTTGGTTTAGTTCTGTTTGGTATAGAAGCTGTTGGGACTAATTAATGCTAAAAGTCACAGACTTTTTTCAGATGCTACTCCCTATAGCATCTCAAAAAAGAGCTTTTTACTTTTGGAAAAGCTCTTTAAATTGTCATACCAAACATACAACTAGGAGCTTTTAGAGACTTTTTAAATAATACAAAAGCTAGAAGGTAGGGACTTTTGCCTGCCAAACATAGCCTTAGTCAAATCAGCCAAAAACAGCTGAAAAGCTCCTAACCAAACACCCCCAAAGATGGAAAAAGTAAGCATTCTTTGAAATGATGTGTGAAAGCGGGCGTAGGTTTCGACTTTTTGACAAATAAATGACGGAGTGCATTACATGTGTTGTTGAGATGAGAATCAAACGTTTGAATTTTAATTAATATACTACTCCGTCCTACGTAAAATCATTGTCAAAATGTGTATCCTTCGGAGAAACATGTAAACTGTTACTCCCTCTGTTCCAAAATGATGGTCTTGTATTTCCTTTTTGGGATGTTCCAAAATGATGGTCTTGTTTTCATTTTTAATAAAAAAACTAAAAGTAGATTACCATTTATATCTCTCCTTTTTAATGAACAGTAAAAGTAAAAGGATGAACAGTACAATAAAGTAAGGTTTTTTAGTCTTTCTACCATACTTTCTTAATCTTTGTGTCTAAAAGAAACAAGACCATCAAATTGGGACGGAGGAAGTATTATTTTGTAATATAAGCATTTTAGAAAGAAAGGACAATTTCCTAAATGGGAGTAAATAAAAGTAAAATTGTAGGTAATAGTAGTTTGTGCGCTGATGGATAGTGTACCCGGGGTAACTTATCTGAAGGGTTATTACGAGAAATAGCTTAGAGAGAAGTCAGAGCAAACAAGTAAGAGAGAGTCAAATGTATTAAATGAACTCGTTGCGTTGGGATCCATTACAAAGGGAATAAGAGCTGTTATTTATAGCAACCATAAATGCTATGTGTATACACGTGTCAATCATTCGACGGCTGAGGGTCATCTCAATCGGGGTGGCACTGGCAATTGCATGTGCACCGCATTAAATGTGGTGGTTGGACGTGACACCGCATTGAATGCGGTAGTTGTTTGTCTCCAGAGGAGGAAGCTTCGTGAGGTGGTGACCCTTCGGCCCAAAGCTTATGGACGAAGGCTATTGTTTCATGGCCGAAGGCTCCCTGAGGCCGAAGGCTACTACTTTTCCGCAATTTTCTCCATGTAGCTTCCCATGCCTAAAATTAGGAGTATCCTGGAATATTGAGCCCTCGGCCAGTCGGCCATAGTGCCAAGGGCATCCCTGTATGTATTACGGGTCCCTTTAAGCTTGGGCCACTGTATTTGGGCCTCTTTAGGAGAAGTAGGAGTCTGTGGGCCGGGGGTCCCTGGGCCATATACTCCATCAAGAGTCCATCACTCCTTTTGCCGAAAGGTACTTGAGGGAAAAAGAGTAACTGTGTTGATTCTGCCGAAAGCTTCCTCGTTGTGGCAGATGCTTTCAATTGATCTTTCGTTTCTCCGGTGCTTGCCGAGGGGAGTCCCCCAGTCCCCCACATGTGGAGGGCTGAGGGCCTCCATGAGTTGCCCTTCGTGTTGGTGCGAAAGCTGCTTCTGTTATCATTGGTACATTTGTATGATTTTTTGACATTATGTGTTTTACCCAAGGGGTCCTCCCAATCCCCCACTCCTTGAGTCGAAGGCAAGTTCGGGCTGGAGGAGTTATTATGCATTGCATAGATCCAAGGGCATATCTTGATGAATGGTGTAATAATATCTGATAACCCGGAGGCTTCATGTTTTAGCTGATGCGTGATTGCCGGAGGGCCATTTCGAAGACAATGTGAAGTGTGCCGAAGGCTCAGGTTTCTGTTGTTCGAAGGGTGTCAGCTGAGGACATCGTTGCAATACGACCGTTGGAATATAGTTGTTGGTGGCGGGGTCCACATGGCGTATGCTGGTTGGCGAGATGCGGGCGGGTTCCACCCATTGGCTGAAGCGGCGGCCCGTAATGATGGGATTTTAACCGGAGGCCCATGCCTCGAGGCTAACCTTGGTTGGGGAGCCTATAAATACCCCAAGGCTGAGCTCATTTGTCTTGCGCGATTTGTACTTGAGCAAAGCTCTGGCAAAATATTTCTAGAGAGAAACCACTTCCTTCGATCAAACCGAGCTTTCGAGGTCAGTTCTTCCCCCGCTCTTCAGTTTTTCAACATATTTTGCTTCTTCGCCCTTAGATTTAGTGTTAATGGCCTTAGGGAACTTCTTTTCTTCCTTCGAACCCTTCTGCCTTCGTTTCTGAAGATGTCTTCTGGAAGTGACTCTCAAGATATCTCGAAGGAGGCTTTAGTAGCATCCGAAAGCTACTCCGATGTGGAGTCTTCGAGTGATCAGCCCTCGGCGCATAATGATTTTGTTGTGGACGAGGAGGTTCAGGATAACCTCAGGACCGAGTTGGAAGCCGAGGACTTCAAGCAGGTAGCAGAAGATGAGGAGCTGACCCTCACTGTTCAAGTTGCCGAAGAAGAGGACGAGAAGGAACGTATGAAGGTTATCATTGCCGTTTCGCCCCCTCGCAATGCTGGAGAAGCAAGTAGCTCCCGGTCCCTTAACCCGGAGCCTCTTCGGGTCGCTCCGGGCAAGAAGAAGAAGAAAGTGAGGGTTGCACCGAAGAAGAAGTAAGCTGGAGTTTAAATGATATCATTGACACTCAACCCGAAGAACCCAGCCCCTTAACCCGGAGCCTCTTAGTATCAATTGACACTCATCAACTTTAGATGATATTAGGAGATACTTATGAATATCAAAAGATTGATGATGAGTTTAAATGATATCACTTGGGATACTACTGCTCTGAAAAGGAAAGGGAAGATCAACAACAAAGGTGATAGGAACATGGAGTGAAAAAGAAGATGTCAAGACTGGAGCACAACAAAACTGAAACTCTTAGATCATTAACACAACTTATGTTAATGATTTAAGGATTATCTATTGAGCACACGCCAGTCTATGACAAGGAAGACATCTGTCCTCAAAGATGTAATCAAATTGTGCTCACTGGAGAGAAGAAATTCTCAACCTGGAAAATCAGATAGCTCCCAGCTGCCTGCCGAAACACTGCTGGTAATATTCTGAGCTCTCTGGATCAACACTGCTGGTAAAGACCTTCTTCTCCAGACCCAAATGAACAATTGGATGTATCAGATGATGTTCAATTCCAATCAGAGAACTTTGTCTCAAA